TATACGTTGATAAACCAAGAAAACGTATTGCAAAAAACTTTACTGGTAATCTAACCAATAATTAAAAATGGGAATATTTAACGAACAATCTTCAGATCATCCCTTTGCTAAGGGAATTCAAGGTGCTCCAGGAGTAGGGTTTAATCTCACTTCAAGTGGGGATTATGATATGATAAATAAAAAACTAAGAAATGTTGGTGCACCTAGTGCTAATACTGATGCTGCTACAAAAAAGTATGTTGATGATAATTCTAGTGGATCGCCCAAAACATCGCTACTAACAGTTGATTCAGACATTGATATGAAAGATACATACCGAATTAAAAATCTTAGCACACCACTGGATTCTAAAGATCCACCAACAAAATATTACGTAGACAACACATTTCTTGACAGAGATGGATCTTACCCAATGAAAGGAAATCTCAATATGGACAACAATCGAATATATAATATACCAGCTCCAAATGGACCCAAAAAACCAACACCACTAGCTTTCACAGATTTAAAATATCTTCATGTTACTGGAACAAATAGTATGGCTAATAATTTAAACATGGATAACAAAAAAATAAATCACTTAGCTTTACCAACAAGCTTAAATGATGCTGCAAACAACAAATATGTAGACGATACACTTTTATTAAATAATGTGGCTATGAGTAATTATTTGAAAAAAGATGGTAGTGTTGCAATGACTGGTAATTTAAATATTAGTGGTAATAAAATAGTTGGTCTCGCTACTCCAACATCAAATACAGATGCTGCAACCAAAAAATATGTGGATGATAATAGTGAAAGTCCAGATTTAAGTGATTATTTGGAAAAAGATGGTACTGTTGCAATGACTGGTAACCTTAATGTTGGTAATAATAAAATAGTTAACCTCAGTGACCCAACCACAGATCAACAAGCTGCTAATCGCGGATGGGTTCGTAAACAAATAGACCGCCTTGATCATCATTCTGGAGATGGAACAAGTGGTGTATTTACTATAACAGATCCAGCTGCGCCCACGACTTTGTATCTACAATATATCTCAGGTTCATCATTTGATGATTTTGTTTTTACAACATCAGCACCTGGTCAACCTCTTGTAGGGTGGGCACCAACTGCTAACACATACATTAACAAAATAGAATTTCAATTTGGTTCGCGAAATATAAACGTTGACTTTTTGTGGTTTATTCCTAGAGATAACACTCATTCCAATTCTAACTTTTGGGTAAGTGGAAATCGAACTGGCACTTGGTCATTAAATATTCACAAGTCTTGGAATTATAATATGTCAGGAGTAAAACTAAGAACTCATAACAATTCAAATCAC